CTGCTGATGTACCAAGCCTACCTGCAGGAACAAATGCTGGTTTCCTGGCCGGCCGATCAGTTGGATTCATCGGAGGAATTGAAGGTAACTCCTTTTAAAACTTTGGGGGGAAGAAAACTTGGGGAAGGTATCTGTGTCTCTGTTGCTGGAGCCCTCATGATAGCTGGGAAGGCAGGACTGGAAATGGGTGTCCTACTCTTTCGTTTGGTTGGTTGGTTTGTTAGCAATTAACGACATACAAGATTAATTTTATTTTTTTCCCCCCTGTTGACCAAGATTTGGAGATTTGGCATTTGCCTGCACAGACATTTAACTCCCAGCTCTTTACCTCATCCATGAGACCTGAAGCACTTGGAAATGCAAAATTATTCCTATGAAGGATTCTTTTTTTCCAATTTCAACACAATGACAAACAGACCCTGCTAGTGTCTGAAAATAGAAGTACAAAGTGCTTGGGTTTCTGAGTGGGAGGATGTACACCACTCTGCTGGATCCACGTGAGGGCTCACCTTGAATCCTTTAGTCACAAGGGGGAGAGCCTGGAGCGTGCATTGCTTCAAACACCTGTTTGGTTTGAAATTCAGGATCAGAGTGGCCTGAGACCCAGCCAGCCACAGCCACGTCCCCACATGTGCCACCAGCTGATGGCCCAGGGCACTTCCAGCAGCGGTCAAAAACTCTACGTACAGATCCAGCTTGAGAAACCCAAAAGGGAGCGGAGAATTTGGGGGCCCTGTAGGAATTATTTTCACCCAGAAGTGAGACCACTCTACAATTGCTTAGAGAATGGGCAGCTGGTTGGGGCTTGATGCATGGTGGAAGTGGGCTCTGCTCCTCCTGGCTTGTGCAAGCATCACGAGTGGGAAGAGCAGATGGGTGGCAAGAATCAAAGGGTGTCTGATCAGCTGTTCTCGGGGGTGCCCACAAGTGAGGTACCTGTTCTTGGAGAACGCACTGGTGCCGTTTTCTGTCTGTGTTCATTGCTCTGTGTGTATACGAGGACTTCGAGGTTGGGTTTTTTTGATTCATTCAGCGAGTGAAGCAATCTGCCGCTGGAGTTTTTCCCCCTTCCCCCCTCCCATCTGCCAGCTGAGCTGCCCATGAGATGTTCCCTAGCCTATGTCAGCACGAAAATGAGCAAAGACTGACCACGTAACCTGTTCCAGCTCATTAGAGCTGACGTGGATACGGGAAGCAGACGAGTAGTTCAGCTGGCAGGACGGAGGATCCGCAACCTCTTCACCCAGCACAGCTGGAGCCAGGGGCAGGCAGATGTGCAGAGAGATGCACCGTGAGAGATGGCCCCCAAGAATTTCTTATCTAAGTGGCAGAGATGCACGCCGAGGAGAGGTGACAGTGACAGATGCAGGAAGCAAACCCCGGGCTCTTTGCTCTCTGGCTAGAGGCCTAATCGCTGCACTCTGCTGCTGCTGCTATTTGTAAAACGTCTGGAGATGCTCTGGCGGAGGGCATTACCGATATGGAAAGAGCAGGCGAATGCTAATGGAGGAGGCTGTTAGTGAGGTGGACTTGTGGTTGACTGCAGCTTGGAAAATAGCCTCAAGGGGAAATGCTCTCAGCGTGCATTTGAGAGCTGTGCTTCTAAGTTTGTGTTTTAATTCGGCTCCTGGAGCGGAGCTGGGTCACCCACCATTGCTGATAGGAGCTGTAGAGAGCTGGTCCGGGTCGAGCAGACAGGGCTGGGCAAGCTGCTTCCTTCCTGTCCTGCCCAGGCTCCCCTGACTCCCAACTCAAGTTAAACATCTCAACACATCGTACTTCTGCGCTGCAAACTCCTCGTTTGCTTTACCCATCACCCTGCAACCAGCCCTCCCGCAGCAGGCAGCGATTTCGCTGTGCCGAAGTATCCGCTGAGGACTTTATTGATTATTTTTTTTTTATTTCTTTTTTTTTACTGTCGCTTTTAGACCACATTTTCACCCAGCCTTCTCATCCAAAAGTACACCCTAGCTGCGTATTTTCCTTTGGTTTTCAGCCGTCACCCTTTGAAAGGCAGCAGACGCGGATTCAGAGAGGACGGAGGCAGGTTGCTGGCGGTGGGAGAGGGGTCCAATAACGGGACCACCCGAAAGGTGAAATCGGTCCGTGCTCCTGGGTGAGCTTGGCACTTTGCAACCTGCTGGAGCTGTGATGAGGCAGACAGGGAACGCTGCTCTTAAAAATACCGGGTAGGTGGGCTGGGGGTAACGGGCAAATCCTTGAGGGCTTCCAGGCAGCGCCACACCGGCTGCAGCGTGGCAGCACTTTAGCTGGATGCGGGCAGGACCGGTGCCAGGCATGTCCCAGTCTGCGCAGCATCAGCCCGTGAGGGCCGAGAGAAACAACGCAGCCCTTCCTAGAAATGCGCTCTGGAGCTTAAAAGATGGACCTAATTGAAAAAATATATCGAGGTTGTACCAGGGGATAAAAGGAAAAGCTGGGCCGAGATTAACCTGGAGCTCAGCGGGCGGAGAAGCACGGCGGTCACGGCCAGGTCCCTAAGCCAATTTTCCCAGCCACGGCCTCCCAGCCACCCGCTGAATCCATGCCCGGCAGGGAGGTGGTTTGCTCTGGATGCAGGTCTGGCAGGAGAGCCCGGCACACTCCGGTTTTGTGCTTCAGGTACGTGCTCGCTTTCCGCTTTGCTTCCTACTCCCCTGCCGCAGCAGTTCCTGGCTCGCTCGTGAGGGCTGCTGCCACAGCCCGGTGGATTTTCTTCAGGGGTGTTTGCTGCCTGCGCGGTTCCTGCCGGTTGTTCAGTCTGCCGGTCCTGCCAAGAGCCTGTGCTTAGGGAATGCTGGAGCTGCTCCAGTTTCCCTGGAGCCTGCAT